TAGAAACTAGACTCCAGCTGCAAATGATAAACAAAATCAGACTAAAACTAGGTAGATTACTTTATGAATTACTGCTGCTCTAAGAGTCTGACAGGATTGTCATAAAGATAATGATCCCCGGCTGATCTTGGTTTTCTGGGAACACATCCGTCTTTAAGGAGTAGACCACACTACTCTCCACTGGAAGCTTCAGCAGCTCTCCTACGCCTATGAAATGCCCACACAGCAAGACCTGGCTCCTAGGCCCCTGCTGCCTGGCCACGTGAAAACCACCAGTTTCCTTCCTGGTTTTCGTTCTCAATATCTAATTAATCGTTCATTGTTCCTGGAAAAGGTCATATACTTGTGTGCCAATTTTTATCCAACTGCCTTGTGAGGTTGAAGAAACATTAGGCAGATTTTCTCTATGGCACTTTTGTCAATCTCCAGGAAAGGAATTCACTATATAATATTAGAAATCAAGCAATTCAGGTTCAATGAAGTTATAAAACTTAGCCAAGGTCACACCACACACAATCAGACCAACGCTTCAAGCACAATGCTCTTGGCCTTAACTGCACTATTCTGGCACAATGTCAACGCTCTAAGCTAGTGTGAGAAAGCAGGATTACCAATGAATGACCTTCTGAAATGAGTGGCTGGGTTGTCTCCTACCCACCTTGCTTTATCATGCCTTGATAGAAATAACAATGACTACCAAAATTATCAGCTATGTATAGTTTGCATAATCTGGAACTAAACAATGGCCCCTGCCCAAAAGTATAAGAAAACAAAAGGTGGCCTATTTATTTTCTTAATATCCAAGTATGACTACAGTAGGGAAAGACACAGTGACATTGATGAGATTGCTATGACTAAAAAATACAGCCTGTAGCCAATCTGGTTTCAGAAATGGACAGAAATTCCTGTTACTACAGGGATACCGGGACTGACCTCTCTGTGCCCTCCTGAACAGGAAACAGTGACAGCAGGAACCTACGTGCCGTGCGGTGCCACGCGGTATAAAGAACAACAGAGTAAAAGAACAGAAGAGAAAGGGGACATCCCTCTTTTAACTGATAATAATGTCATTAACAGCTACCCCAAATCACTGTTATGAGCTATTTAAACATCTTATTTTAAGATTATATTTGCTATAATTTTCTCAGTTTCTTTATTTACACTGTGCTAGGGAAAGCTAACCAAAAAAAAAAAAATTGAGATCCCTTTTACAGTGTGTCCCAGTAAGAGCACTAAATTGAACTTCATAATAAGTAAAACTAAGTCTATTTATAGTTATATTCACAATTTTCCTTCAATCTTAAACTATGCCAGAATAAATGCAGCACTTAAGACTAAATTTTGATCATTCTGAGCATCCTCAGCAATTGCTATTTTATTTCACTGCCCCCAAGAATCACCCTGAAAACCACACCTGCAGCCAGCACCCTTGCCTCTTGACAGCTAAAACTCACAGCCAGAATCCCTCTCACTTTAGCCAGCGTAATTTTCTAACAACAAAGATCAGATCGCGCCTCTCCCTGGCACAAAAATGTTGCAAGGCTCCCTGTTGAAGGACATGCAGAGTGAAGCATCGCCCACCAATGGAGGCCCAGAAAGGCTGATCCAAATCTGCCTAGCCCTCCCTTCTCCTCCTAGTGACCTGAACCTCACTTGCCCTCTCCCCATGCCTTCTATGAGCCAGGCTCATTTCTGCCTAGATTTTGACTCGATGGTCCCATGACCTTTAGACCCACTTCCCCGGACTACCTCTCCAAATGAGCACACCCATGCTCCACCAACCACTCGCTAACCCTTGACATGATTTATTATCTTGGCAGTAACAAATCCTCATACTTGCCACTGAAGGAATGTTCTCTCTCTTTCCTGTTAGGCTCAGTTGTAGGGCAACAGCTTGTCTGGCTTGCCAGTGTATTCCTGGGTGACTGGCATATGGAGGAACTCAATGTATCAAATACATGAGTTCAACTTCAGGATCAACTTCCACACTCACCTATAGCTGTCTTATACTGCTCCCTACTTGAAATATATGGACTTTAAGTAAAGTTTTTCCTACCTATGCTTTGTGCTGGGAGTTAAAAGGCTTAAGTTTTTTACAACATGAATGTTGCTTAAAACCTTTTAATTTGATTCAACTTTCAATCTGTTACAGTTAGAAAAGGGACAAAGTTGTTTATACCATGACAACACATTAGCTATTATTTCAACAAGACATTGTTTCAAAAGCTATGATAAAGTGTAAGACCCATTAGAAAAGATGAAAGAAGATCTGTCCAGAGTAATATATTCTTTGGATAAATTTAAACATTTATTTTAAGCAATAATTTCCAATAACTTTGTTCCAAGTTGTCTTTCACTGGTTCTTTGTTACATAAGTAGACTTTGGAGTGAAAACAAAACTAAATATTGATTTGGGAAAAGTGTTTACATTATCATTAGTTCACTACTACCATTAGCAAATACCTAATGAAGGCAAACAAATACACTTTAACAGGTTATCTACTATGTCCAGAAGTCTGAACAAGACCCGTACCTGCATTTATTCATTGAGCAATTAAACCTAAACGGCCGAGACAAGACCATGTGCTAGGCGCTATGATTTGGACATTTTAGGCACATTTTCAATTTGCAGTGGTTAAGTAACCATAAAAATGATCTAGACAACAAATATTTGCCTGAGCTAGTAAATACCCATTTAAGTCTTTTGAAGGCTATAACAATTTAAACCAAAGGAAACCTTACCTGACAATTACAGAAATGAAAATATTTCAGAAAGTTTAAGTTTTTTCTCAGTGTGAAAAGTCTCTCAAAAACTAAGCAGTAGGTGTAATCACTTTCAATTACATAATATCTACTATGCACAAGGATCTACCCTCAACTGTGCAGGTTTTTTATTGTGTCAATAAAAGCTACTTGACTACAGTTATTATTCCAGGGTCTTCTTTTCACTACTTAAAAGTAACAGGAGTCCTTCAAAAGTTGTCATCGTTTATAAACACATTCACTACTTGCAAAAATGCACCATGAATGAACATTCCCTCAAATGCTTTATGAGCACACCAAAATGGCACTACCACGTGAGCACAGCATGTGGACCTCAAGAATTCTCACAACAAAACACAGTCTGATGCAAACACAAAAGCTACAGGTCCTTCTACTCGTTCATCTACAGGGGGATGCAACTTGAGCTGTCTGTGTTAGGCACTGGGAATCTCACAACAGAGCGAGTGTGTAGAATGCCAGGCTCTACCTGTCACAGAACTGCTACACCTGCCAAGAGGCAGGGGAGGGAAGAATGATGCTGCTGTCCTTAAAATACCTGCTTCTGCAGAAAGCTCCCAGCAAACACAGGCTTGCTCCGAGCAGCAGCTTCACAGCACACACGGGTAAGTCGCCTGTTCTGGCAGCTGATGAAGCATTTCTCCCCAGAAAAGCATAGTTTAGGAAATAAGCACAAGTGGGTGGTGAAGATTGTGTTAGGTCTAAAACATTTACAGAAATAAAGCACTTCAAATGCCATGGGTTTTCAGTATTACCAGAGCATTCTAAAGACACACAAATCATCTAGAATGCTTCTCCACGACCTGAGGGCACTTTGCACTCCATATTTTGTTCAATTTGCTCCCACTATTCAAGCTGTTGCCCTCTGAATTATGAGAGGCTCAGGGGAAGAATGGTCACAAAAAGTATCCAGGGCTTACACAAGGTTACAACCCTCAAGTTATTTCCAACTGCACTTAATGAACATGCTCCATCAGTAATTTTCAACACTGAAGAACTCTGAATAAGAAAAAAACAAACACCCACCAAAAATATCACTCCTTCCAGTCCCTCCTCTGTCTGCACTTAGAAAAGGACAATGTTTCCATTTGTGTTAGCTCCTGTCCTAGCAGGTTTTACAAGGTTGAAAGACATGCAGCAGTGGCAGGTCAATGCCAGTTCTGCCTGCATTCTCAACTCCATCATGAGATCTCATCTCATTCTAAGAATATGAAATGATCTTCAAGATTAAAGAAACAAGCTTCAAAGTCACTTATTAGCTCTTCTAAACAACAATAGTTAGGTTCTTAGCCAGTTCTTGTTGACACCTGTTAAATTCACCTTGATTTAAAAACAACATAAGGGATGGGGCCTATGTTGTGACATAGTAAATAAAATTGCTGACACTGACATCCCGCACAGGTGCAAGTTCAAGTCCTGGCTGCTCCAATTCTGATCCAACTCTCTGCTAATGGTCTGGGAAAGGCAAAGAAGACAGCCCGAGTGCCTCGGTCCCTGCCACAGACACGGTGAGCAGAAGGAAGCACCTGCCACCTGGGCAGTGAACCAGCTGATGGAAGGCTTTTATCCCCCACCCATCCCCCACCTCTCAAATAAATAAGATTTCAAAGGGTGGGGGCTGTACACTTTTCCCTAACCCAAAAATGCATAACCTTGAGCCCCTTGTCTGGAAAAATGAAGTCACCAAGCAGATAATAGAATCATATTTCATATACAGAGACATCCAAATTAAGAAAACATCTTTGGAAAAGTCAGAAGAAGTGAAGCCATGTTCAAAGTAGCAGGGTGAGAGAGGCCAGTGTAAGGGCGAGGGTGAGGCAGGTAGCCAAGAGTCCCTCACCGTCCGTGGAAAGCCACAGCTGGCAAGGTGTATGGACCCACAGCATAGAAAGGCAAAACTGCTGGACCTCCCAGCAAATGCTGGTATTTCACAAACGCTGAAGCTGTAAACCAAACCAGGGCCACGCTGTTTTGTTGTTTGTTTGTTTCTTAAAGCACCCAAAAGCCTCAAGGTAAGCAAGTCACCAAGGAGCCAAGGATTAGCTGCACCTCTGACGGCTAGCAAGGCCGGGGCAGGAGATACCGCTGGCGCCGAGGAGGCTGACCCTCGCCTCTTAGCACCTGGCACCTCGCCCTGTGGAGCCAACCCAGAGTGGCACAGTGGAGAAGGGAGTGGTCCACGCCGCACCACCCCCCCCCCACCCCCCAGCCCAACTCACTGTTGCTGGATTTGAGGTCTCGGTGCAGGATGGACACGACGGCCTCTTCGTGCAGGTACAGCATGCCCCGTGCGATCTGCACAGCCCAGTTGACCAGCACGTGCGGGGGGATGCGGCGCGCGCCGCGTGGGCCAGGCGTGCAGGGATCCGGGGCGGCGTTGGCAGCGGCCAGTGCCCGATTGAGCGCGCCACCGCGGGCGAACTCGAGCACCAGGCAGAGGTGAGGCTGCCGCAGGCACACGCCCCGCAGCTCGATGATGTTGGGGTGCCGCAGCATGGAGAAGAGCCGCGCCTCCCGCCGCACGCTCTCGGCCGCCGCTGCCGCGTCTTGCTCCGGGTCGCAGCGCGCCGCCTTCACTGCCACCTCCTGGCCTTGCCAGGTGGCGCGGTACACCTGCCCGAAACCACCGGCGCCTATGAGCTCCTTGAGCTCCAGCAGCTCGAAGTCGACGTGCACGGGCGAGCCGGGCCGCGGCGGCGGCGGCGGGGGCGCGGGCGGCGGCGTGGGGCGGGCGGCCGGGCGGCACGGCGCCACGTAGTTGGCTGGGAAGATGCCCAGGCGCCGCCGCACCTTGCCGGCCCACCAGCCCTCGTCGCCGGAGACGGCGGAGTCCTGCGACAGCACCTCCACCAGCTGGCCGCGCCGCAGGCTCAGCTCATCCTCGCCGTGAGCCTCGTAATCGTAGAGCGCGGCCCACAGCCCTGGGCCGGCCGAGGCCGAGCCGCCGGAGGAGCCGGACGACGACGACGCGGAGCCGGTCGGGGCACCCCTGCCCGGTGACCCCGGCGTGTCGGCCGCACCTTCGGCGCCGGGCAAAGCCATGGCGAGGGCGGCGTGCGGAGAGGCGGGCTCAGCCACCAGGGCAGCCGGGGGCGCGCATCTTTCGGTGGGTGGCCGTCCGCACCCAAGGTGGAGGCTTGAGGGCTAAGAGTAGGGGATCCGGACGGCGGTGCTCGCGGTCACTCCCCGAAGGCTCCTGCTCAGCCGGTGTGCCTGCCCGGCCGCCTCGGCCTCTGCAGCGGTACCCAAGCCCGCGGGCGCTGTCGCACCATGGTGGCGCGCTGGGGCCTGCGGCCGTCCCGCGCTGCACGCCCGCCTAGCCGTGGCCAGGCCCGCCCCGCCCTCGGCAGGTCCGATCCGCCCCCTCGGAGCCCGCCCCAAGGCCCGGGGCCCATCCCGCCCTTCAGGCCCCGCCCGGCTGCCTGGAGCCGGCCTCCCGGTCCGCACCACCTGCTGGAGCCGCTCCGCCCTCCCGGGCCCGCCCAGTCGCCGGAGGTGTCGGTCGCTAACTGCTCTAGGGGAACCGCCTGCTGTGTAGTCGCCCAGTGTTGGGGCAGGGGAAGGCAGCCAGAGCCGCTCTAGATGTTTAGGAAATGTTTAAATAAAGGGGCAGGCAGAGTGAAGGCTTGGGGCGAAGTTGAACGCCTCTCCACAGCCGTGGGAGCGGCTAGACTTGAAGTGCTGCTTTGGGAGAAGAGTTAGATGGTGAGAATCTGAGAGCATCAGCAACCAAGGATCAAGATTTGGACTTTACTCTCTCATGTCAGGTTTCCAGGAGTCCAACAGGTTTGCTCTCCCGGGTCATACCTGCTGCAAGAGGCCACTCTGAACCTTTGACTTCCAAGCCGTGTAGCACAGTGTCATTCGCCCTGGCAGGTCGCCTGTGCTTGCCTACCTCAACATGCCCTGTCAAGGCCCAGAAGGATAGGTTCGTAGAGGCTTCTAACGCAGGTAAACTTGAACTTGACACCCGTACCACAAGGAGTGTCTGTGATGGTCCGCACAAGGGTTGGGAGGCACATGTCTTTGAACTTGGGACGGTGGAATTCTCAGGAAGCTAACCCCACTTGATGCTTTCACAGCTGTCGGCCTGGGCTTGATTCTACAAAGTCATCATTTGTTGTTTGGTGCTTTCTAAAATCCCTCTACCCCGCCCCAAATCTTAAGGTTGAGGAAATTTCCTTGGTGTCATGCAGTACTCAACCGCTTCACTCAGGCTAGTCCAGCACAGTTCACCAGGAAGATAGTAAACAAGGCACAGAGTGCCAAGACAGTGTGGGTGAGAAGCCTGAATTTAAATAGAGGATGATGGTGCTGCAGGTGAAACCCCAGACTTCAGCCTGAGTGATGCTGCAGATGAACCAACAGATGGAAGATGATTCACCCTCTCTTTTCTCTGTCTCCGTTTCTCCTTCTCTCTCCCTCTCTCTGTCAAATAACATCTTTAAAAGCTTATCGGCAGGTCTATACGACAAACTGGGAAACTAATTGTGTTGCATACTCAAGCAGAATGCAATTCTTAGGGAAAATTATTTGGATGATTAAATCATTTAGTTATACACCAGCCTTAGCACTTTGCAGATACTTATGGGACACTGTTTTTGCCTGAAGAAAGATTTATGTAAACTTACAGTTATTTTTACACTTGAATATCCAAAAGACAGTTTCTTGAAATAACAACTCAAGTCTTAGTCTGAACTTCTGGGCCTGGCACAGTAGCCTAGTGGCTAAAATCCTTATCTTGAAGGTGCCTGGATCCCATACGGGCACCAGTTCTTATTCTGACTGCTCCACTTCCCATCCAGCTCCCTGCTTGTGGCCTGGAAAGGCAGTCGGAGACTAAAAGCCTTGGGACCCTGCACCCACATGGGAGACCTGGAGGAAGTTCCTGGCTCCTGGCCCCTGGCTTCGAATGGGCTCAATTCCAGCCGTTGTGACCACTTGGGGAGTGAACCAGTGGTTGGAAGAGCTTTCTCTCTGTTTATGTTTCTCTCTATAACCTGACTTTACAATAAAAATAAATTAAATCTTAATAATAATGAACTCAGCTTCTGAGGAAAAATCTGAATTCCAGGAAATTTTAGCTTGTATTATGAACTCAGAAAGTTTTCAAGCATGATATTTTCAAACTTTTCTGATAAGACTGGTGATACTAGTGATGGCTCCGTGACTAAATCCTCGACTTGCAAGCAGAGACCCCATATGGGCATCAGTTCATGTCACAGCTGCTCCACTTCCTATCAGCTGCTTATAGCCGGGAGAGCCGTGGAGGACGGCCCAAGGTCCTGCAACCCTGCACCAGTATGGGAGACCTGGAGGAAGTTCCTGGCTCCTGGCTTCCGATCTGCTCAGCTCCTCTGTTGCAGCTTTCTGAGGAGTGAACAAGCAGATGAAATATCTTTCTGTCTCTCCCCTCTGTAAATATGGCTTTTCAACAAAAATGAAGTAATACTTTTTTTAAAAACTTGATAATGAACGTGATTTGAAGATACTGGATATTGAAATGTGGTAACAACCAGAAACCCTATATAGTTCTGAATACTAATGTTTCACGAAAGACCAGTGACTTTTTTTTTTCGGAATTTATTTTTATTGGAAAGGAAGGTTTACAGATAGAAGGAGATTCAGAGGCAAAAATTTTCAGTCCACTGGTTCATGCTCCAAGTAGCCACATAGGCTGGAGCTGAGCCCATCCAAAGCCAGGAGCCATAGCCTCATCCAGGTCTCCAATTCAAGTGCAGTGTCCCAAGGCCCTTGGCCATCTTCCACTGCCTTCCCAGAGCATAAGCAGGGAGCTGGATGGGAAGCAGAGAAGCCAGGACATGAAACAGCACACATATGGGATCCTGGTGGTTGAAGGCGAAGATTCAGCCACAGAACCATCACACCAGGCCCACCAGTGATATTTTTGATATCTCATGAAACAAAAATAGAAACTCCAATTAAATTACATTATGAAATGTGTGTTGTTGATGGTTTCAGAATGTTTAAGAGACTGCTGTTTTTTGAGCCTTTGTATGATATCCAAGAACACCCATCTTTAACTGAAAATGTGGTTCAACATTAGTGAGGAGGAAGGGTGGGGCAGGGGTGCCCCCAGGTGATGAAAGGGTGGCACCAAGTTGTGTGTGATGATGAGTAGCTCTGTATCTTGACTGGAGTAGCAGATATGTGAGTCTACACATGCAATAAAACCACACACACACACACACGAATGCATGTGGAATTTGTGAAATGTGAAAACATCCCTGGATTTGATCAATGCTGATTTCTGGTCATGATTATAATCATGCAAAATGGTTTTTTGTTTTTTAAAAAGATTTATCTGTTTTTATTGGAAAGGCAAATTCACAGAGATACAGAGACAAAGGAGATACAGAGACAAAGATGTTCCATCCCCTGGTTCACTCCCCAGGTGGCTGCAACAGCCAGAGCTGAGCCAATTCAAAGCCAGAAGCCAAGAGCTTCTTTCAGGCCTCCCATGTGGGTGCAAGGTACAGCGTGCAAGTTTGATGAAGCTGGATGGGAAATGGGGCAGCCAGGACAAAACCTGCACCCAAATGGGATCCCCAACCACATGCAAGGCAAGGAGTTTTAAAACCACTAGGCTATCACGCTGGGCCCACAAAATGCTATCTTTGAAGAATTGAATGAAGGGTTTATAAAGCTCTATGTATAATGCCTTACATAAAACTTACCAATATACATTTCTCTCCAAACAAAAAGCTTTAAAAAAAATCTGCCATTTCCAGCTTTATGTCTGTGTGAGGACGGAATTTTTCCATACTTCAACCAGAAAACTGTTTTGTGACAAGGTGAACATAAACATAGCCACTGCAATTAGTTAACTTCTCTTCAGCTAGAAACAGCTTTGAAAAAAATAGTAAGCTATGCCAGGCATTTTACCTATATATTTAACTTTTAGAAAAAACATAATCTCTAAAAATTGGGTCAAATGTTACCATGTCATGGGTTGATTACTGCTACATTAAATAAAGCTGCAAATATTTTGCATATCTCCACTTTCAACCTTTGACATAGTGTGATGTTATAAAGCCCATACACAGGAGCTGTTTGACACCTTTACTAGTTTCATTATGCATTTAAATAGATCCTGCAATAAAAAATTGCAGAATTTTCCTAGGTTAAAGGAAGAGGAATCAATTCTGCTGAGAAAGCTCTTATGCAAATAGGAATATCCGGTGATTTGCTCAATACCCTGTAATGCTGCTGACCAGTGTGGACAAGAATGGACATTGAAGCAAAATGTTGGTAAAGGTAGCAAGTCTACAAAATTAAATTACGCTCTTACCTTAGCCTACTGCCACTTAGACATGAGAACCACAAGCTGAAAAGCCAATTTTTTTTTTCACTTTCATTGTTCTATTGAAGCAACGACCTTATGTCCCACAAGGAATCTTGGTCTATCTCTCTGTATCCCCTCCCCAGTTTCCCCAAATGAATACATAATTTTTGAAAAAAAAAAGACCCATCAACTTTTAATGTTTCTCCAGACCCTCATATACATAAGATGTAAAGCGGTCTTGGCTTTGACATTATTTATTGCAAGGAATATTGTCTTGTTCTTCAGCTTTGCCCTCTGTAAGACATTAGAAGACAATAATGGCAGCTCTGTATTGTTTGGAGTATACACTGAGCTAATGTATTGAAGCATAACACTGTTTCAGTGCTAACAACTTTTAGCTGCCATTTAAGTACTAGTTATTGCTTTCGGGGGCTCATTATAACAGAAAACTCAACAGAAGGAATGTTAAGCATGTCCATTTCCCTCTCTCTCTCTCTCTCTTTCTTTTTTCTTTTTTCTTTTTTCTTTTTTTTTTTTTTTTTTGGCTCACTTTTGGTATATTTCCTACAGAAAAAAATCAGTTGCATTCTACTAACATACTTCAAAATTTTCCACAGGATGCTCAGAGTTGAGAGTTGGAAGGAAACTTCCAAGTCTCTTCATTATATCAATCTAAAAATATATAATGCATTTTCAGCAAACCAAATACAGCTACATAAGACTAACTTTTTTCTGCTGTTGCCAGCCTTTCTTATTCATCATGAACAATGCTAGAAAAAAACAAACCTAAAAGGCCTAAACCTATTTTTTTTTCGAATATCAAACATTCATCTAGGTACTCGGGGTAAAACGATGAACTTGGGACAGGTCCCTGTCATTCTGGAGCTTACATTTTAGTTGGACTAGATGTAAGCTTACAAGTCCGTTGACCAGTGTATTCAGATCTCATAAGTGTTGTACAAAAATGAAAAGGAATATG